CCAATCCTTCCTCTGTATATTCAGAAGCAGAGCCTGCTGCCGCCAACTCATTTCCCTTTTAGTTTTACAGAAACACACACAATGCTTTTTGTTGTCATTTTGTAAGTTCGGTCCTTTAGACATGTCAGTAATTCTCTTGACACATAAAACTTTGGCAAAAAATTAAGTTGTCTACTCTTTCTTTGTTATTTTCAGCGTGAAAGTAAAGAAAATAGACCATAACCTTAACCTTGCAACCTCAATATCTGCCTCAAGACCACAATAATACGCACAGTAAGCAAAAGCTAACACACAAACAACATTGCTTAATCGCTATTGCTGTCACTGTCTATTAGTTTATATATAATTATATTTTATATCTAGTTACATTTATCCTATAATTTAGATTATTTGCTTATTTATGACGGAAAAAATAATAATCTTTAAGAAGATACTCCCAAGAACAACATATAGCCCAGGGATGCTCAAAGTTAGCTCATAGTAAACTATAATATATCCCAACATCCCATCTGAGAAAGGTTTAGAGATTGTTATTTCAAATTTAATATAACCTTTTATTTGTTTGTATCATTGTTAAGCTACAAAAAGGCTCTCTAAAATTAGATGTTTCAAATTAAATGGTGTAAATTACTCAGATTTTTGTTAAAAATGCTGCATGGAGGACAATGCAGAGACTTTAGACATGTCAGTAATTCTCTTGAAACACATGAAACTTTGCAAACCCTGCTGAAAAATCCAGCCTAGGCTGGTTGGCTGGTTATAGGTTGTCGACCAGGCTAGTTTTATTGGGTTTTTGGTCATTTCCAGGCTGGTTTCCAGCCATTTCCAGCCTGGTCTTAGCTGGTCAGGCTGGAAAATGACCAGCTAAAACCAGCTTGACCATTCTGGTTTAAGCTGGACATAGCTGGTTTTGGCTGGGCTCCCAGCCTGGCTAGGCTAGTCAAGCTGGTTTTAGCTGGTCATCTCCCAGCCTGACCAGCTAAAAATAGGCTGGAAATGGCTGGAAACCAGCCTGGAAGTGGCCAAAACCCCACTAAAGCCAGCCTGGTTGACCAGCTAAAACCAGCCAACCAGCCTAGGTTGGATTAAGCTGTTTTTTTCAGTAGGGAAAAATAAAGTTGTCTCCTCTTTGTTTTGCAAATAATCCTTTATTTTCAATGTGAGCTAGGAAAATAGACCGTAACTTTGTAAACTCAGTGTCTGCTTCAAAACCACAATAGCAAAAGCTAACACACGAACACACACACAACATTAATTAGTATGCTGTTACTGTCTGTTTATATATAGTATATTTGATTACATTTACCCTATAATTATATTATTTGCTTATTTATGAAGGAAAAAAGATAATCATTAAAAAGATAATGTCAAAAACAACACTAGCCTATACTGCAGTCAAGGAAGGTCTGTGGAGAAAACATTAGCTTTAGCAGACGTTAGCATTCCCAGGTTAATTTGTTCAATTTATAAAGCACAAATGATGCTATTTTAAATTATTTCTTGAGGTAACACTTTATTTTGATGGCCCATTAGTAGACTGTCTGCTTAATATCTGCTGATACTGCTCCTTCAACAGACATTGAACTGACTATAATGAACATTGCAAGTACATGTCAACGTACATGTCATTGCAAGTACATGTCAACGTACACTAACCTAACAGTCTACTTATAATCTAATGGGAATTAGTTGGCATGTAGATGCAATTTAACTTAAACTCTCATCAAATGGACCATCAAAATAAAGTGTTCTCTTTGTTAAAACCCCATGAGCAAATCATGCTTAGCATGGTCATGTTGGCCTCTGCTGGTAGATTCGGAAACTACACACTAAAAGAGTCACAAAAAAATCTGTTTATTTTATTATTATTTATTTTTATTAAAAGCTATAGAGCAGTCGTCACCTAACTTGTTCCTGGAGGGCCGGTGCCCTACAGATTTTAGCTCCAACTCTAATCAAACAGACCTAAACAAGCTAATCAAGATCTTACTAGGTATACTTAAAACATCCAGGCAGGTGTGTTGAGGCAAGTTGGAGCTAAACACTGCAGGGACACCGGCCCTCCAGGACCAAGATTGGTGACACCTCCCTGCTGAAAAATCCGGCTTAAACCAGCCTAGGCTGGTTGGCTGGTTTTAGCTGGTCGACCAGGCTGGTTTTAGAGGGGTTTTGGCCACTTCCAGGCTGGTTTCCAACCATTTCCAGCCTGGTCTTAGTTGGTCAGGCTGGGAGATGACTAGATAAAACCAGCTATATCCAGCTTAAACCATGCTGGTCAAGCTGGATTTGGCTGGTCTTTTTACAGCCTGGCCAGCTAAGACCAGCTAAGAAATGGCTAAAACCCCTCTAAAACCAGGCTGGTCAACCAGCTAAATCCAGCCAACCAGCCTAGGCTGGTTTAAGCTGGATTTTTCAGCAGGGCTGCTATAGAGTATGAAATCAAATGAGATTAATCATAGTTCATCAACAACAACATGAGTTAATTTAACTTACTAATTAAAATTTAAATCAGACATGACCAAACTAGGGCCTGCGAACCTATTTGGCCCACGGTAACCTTTGATTTAGCCCACTATCTTATCTGAAAATGGTTTAGAGATCGTCATTTCAAATTTAATGTACCCTTTTGTTTGTTTCATTGTTATGCTACAAAAAAGCTCTCTGAAATTAGATTTTTCAAATTAAATGGTGTGAAATAATCAGATTTAGTTTAAAATGTATATATGAAAACTCTGGTGAGTGAATCAAGGCAAAGGCAGATTCTGCTTGAGTGTATTCAGCCTTAAATATGATTGTTGATGATTTTATTGCAATAAGTTATCATTAAATAAGTTATACTGCATTATTTAATACTATTTAAAGTGCTGTTTTCTATTTAGTTTTTAATATTATGAATTAAGAAATTACCAATTGCACCTTTAATGTAAAATAATTAGGTATATTTATTTTTGGCCCATAGCTCTGAATGATATTTGGTTTTTGGCCCTTCATAGCTTAGAGATCGTCATTTCAAATTTAATGTTCACTTTTATTTGTTTGTTTCATTGTTAAGCTACAAAAAAGCTCTCTGAAATTAGATGTTTGGCAACCTTTAAAAGTGAATCACACAGTGATGTTTTCTCCCAATGTACCAGGCAATGAATCCACTGAAATAAAAAACACACATTGGTCGCTTCAATAGATAGCCCACATATCTGATGATCATTGTATGTGTGTGTGAACATAAAACACAATTTCAATGCAAGAGTGGATCTAAAAGGTCCCGAGAAGTGTTTTGAAGTGTCATTCATTTATTTTCTTGTCAGCTTAGTCCCTTTATTAATCCGGGGTCGCCACAGCGGAATGAACCGCCAACTTATCCAGCAAGTTTTTTACGCAGCAGATGCTCTTCCAGCCGCAACCCATCTCTGGGAAACATCCACACACACACACTCATACACTACGGACAGTTTAGCCTACCCAATTCACCTGTGCCGCATGTCTTTGGACTGTGGGGGAAACCGGAGCACCCTGAGGAAACCCACAGGAAGGCAGGGAGAACATGCAAACTCCACACAGCAACACCAACTGAGCCGAGGTTCGAACCAGCAACCCAGCGACCTTCTTGCTGTGAGGCGACAGCACTACCTACTGCGTCACTGCCTCGCGCTTTGAAGTGTGTATTTTTTTTATTCAATGTTTGATCTAATATCAGCTAACCTATGAAGACAGGGTTGTGTTAAAATAAAAATGTATATATTCTAGTTCCGAATTAACAATAATACAGTCACCGGCCACTTTATTAGATACACCTGTCCAACTGTTTCCTAAGGCAAATTTCTAATCAGCCAATCCCACGGCAGCAACTCAATGCATTTAGGCATGTATACATGATCAGGATGATCTGCTGCAGTTCGAACCGAGCATCAGAATAGGGAAGAAAGGTGTTTGAAGTGACTTTGAATGTGGCATAGATGGGCTGGTCTGAGTATTTCAGAAACTGCTGATCTACTGGGATTGTCACACACAACCATCTTTAGAGTTTACAGAGAATGGTCTGAAATAAATATCCAGTGAGTGGTGCATCCAACTTTGAGGCGGATGGGCTACAGCAGCAGAAGACCACACCGGGTGCCACTCCTGTCAGCTAAGAACAGGAAACTGAGGCTACAATTCACACAGGCTCACCAAAACTGGACAGTAAAAGATTGGAGAAACGTTGCCTGGTCTGATGAGTCTCCATTTCTGCTGCCACATTCAGATGGTCGGGTCAGAATTTGGTGCCAACAACATGAAAGCATGGATTCATCCTCCCTTGTATCAACGGTTCAGGCTGGTGGTGTTGGTGTAATGGTGTGGGGGATATTTTCTTGGCACACTTTGGGTCCACTAGTACTAAATGAGCATTGTGTCAACGCCACAGCCTACCTGAGTATTGTTGCTGACCATGTCCATCCCTTTATGACCACAGTGTACCCATCCTCTGATTGCTACTTCCAGCAAGATAACGCACCATGTCATAAAGCATGAATCATCTCAGACTGGTTTCTTGAACATGACAATGAGTTCACTGTACTCAAATGGCCTCCACAGTCACCAGATCTCACTCCAATAGAGCACCTTTGGGATGTCATGCAATGGATTCACATCATGGATGTGCAGCCGAAAAATCTGCAGAAGTGTGATGCTATCATATAAATATGGACCAAAACCCATGCCACAGAGAATTAAATCAGTTCTGAAGGCAAAAGGAGATCCAACCCAGTACTAATAAGGTGTACCTAATAAAGTGGCCAGTGAGTGTATGTATATAAAGAATGTTTCATCAAAACTAAATATTACGTTTTTTATGAGCATTCGTTGCTGAAACCCATTTTACTGGTACACGTGAAGTTCCAAGCACAGTTATTGAAAAAAAAAATCGTTATAAACTTACATAACTATGTAATAAAAAAGCATAGACTGATGTACAGACCATCCACGCAGCCGCCGCCATGTGACGTAATGACGCAGAACACGTCAGCTACAGCAGTCGCTGCAAAGCTCCATGTCACTGACTGGTTTAGCAACATTCCTCAGCAGGTAATAGCGCAATTTAAGGGCATATTCTAATCCGTTATTCGTTTTTTGACATTGCTATTCTGAAGCATTTTGCACGTTATCTCGACTCGTGCCGTCTGATTTTGTAAAATTAACAACATTAAACAGTAACACTAGTCCGCAAGCGCGAGACTTTCATTCCGCGCACGACTATAAAACTGTCCAAAGTTTCATTTAATCATTAGCGCTGCTCATTTAGACGACAGGAATATTACTAATTTACAAGCTGTTTTACCTTTGCCACATTGTGGTTGATTTCCTATTTATTTAAAAAGGTTAAAACTTTGTAAATCATCCAGATTGTGTGTTTAATTCACTTTTATCTTTCAGTCAGTCATTCCCAGTATGGTTTACGTCGTACAAACAACAGGCTTGCCTATATAAATAATATATTTAATCAGATAATTTATAAATGGTAATATCTGTGCTTTCAAATGTAAAATAAATAAATAATAAATGTAAAAAATTGGTTGGTTTTATATTCGGATATTCAGACATTCTCCTTTGTAATATAATTTTGGAAATTGTTATTTGCAAATTCTAAATAGTGAAATCATATTACGTTAGCACCCTTTGACTATCAATGTATTGTTCACTGTCAAAAAAGTAGTGCTGTTATTTTCAAGTCATACTTGCTTGCTAATTCAGACCGAGCAATTAAAGTAGAGTGGTAACCCTGCTGAAAAATCCAGCTTAAACCAGCCTAGGCTGGTTGGCTGGTTTTAGCTGGTCAACCAGCCTGGTTTTAGAGGGGTTTTGGCCATTTACAGGCTTGTTTCCAGCTATTTCCAGCATGGTCTTAGCTGGTCAGGCTGGAAAATGACCAGCCAAAACCAGCCTGACCAGCCTGGTTTAAGCTGGATATAGCTGGTTTTGACTGGACTCCCAGCTTGGCTAGGCTGTTCAAGCTGGTTTTAGCTGGTCATCTACCAGTTAAAACCAGGCTGGAAATGGCTGGAAATCATCCTGGAAGTGGCCAAAACCCTTCTGAAACCAGCCTGGTCGACCAGCTAAAACCAGCTGACAAGCCTAGGCTGGTTTAAGCTGGATTTTTCAGCAGGGAAACAATATAGAAACCATTAAATGAACAAATGTGTGAATATAAAACCAACTTTACCTCAATAAAAACCATATTCCAACACAAACCATTTACTACAAATAATAATAATTTAACCCTCTTGTCATGCTAGGTCAGATTAGGTCACAAACAGCATGAAGTTGAGTTAATAAAGCATTTATTAACATAGATAGTAACCATTACTACATGCCTGAATAGTAAGATATATAAACGTTAATTTGAATAGTTTAATAATCATTTACTAACTAATTCTGAATTATCTTAAAACCACTAACTACTCTTAAATACAAATGGTTTGCTTACCAACGCTTATTAATGTAGAGTTATTGCTTAACAAATAATGAATACACTATTTGCTGATGCTTAATTATTGATTCATAGTGTGTAGTAATTATAAAGTGTTACCAAAAGCTTAATGTCACTATTTTTAATTTCACAAGGCTGTTTTTAGATTAATTATGTTGTACTGTATTTACAATACATTCAGTTAAACAGACTTAAGCATTCATTTAGTTGCGTAAAACGAGATGAAAGACCGTGTAACCACTAGCACCATCAGTAGCAACAGGCTAGAGCATAAATTCCCTTGAAAATACTGGGGTAAAATAAACTGTCATATTTTAGAGACATGGCGGGGGGAAATGGAACTTCTGAATGGTGCTTCTTGTCTGGTCTGAGACCAACTTAATATCGCATATCTAACAGGCAGTGAAGATTGCTTTTTTGTTTTAAGATATCAGATCTTAAACGTGACAGTTTTGTAATGGAAAGACAGGTCACCGGAAGCCCTTGGGCTTCCTGGCTGTAAATGAAACAACCCAGGCTCACCCTGAAAACGTAGTCGCGTTGACGTTTCTGGAGATGGTGAAATTTGTCCCGGAAGGTACTTATTTTTGCAGTTTTTGTTTTTTCGCAAATCCACGAAAGCCCGCTGTTTGCGCTTTTTGGCATCTCTCACGAGTGCCGTTCACGGCCATGCTGTTCTCACATAAACCCACCAGAGGCCGCTGTCGAGTGACCGTCTGTCTAAAGCCGCCTTTCCACTGCACACGACATTTGAACACGACTGTCGGAATACGCCCCCTTGTGGCAGCCGCACAGTATTTTCAGTGTTGTCGTGCACCGTGGGGGAAAAACTGATTGACACGGTGTCCGAAATTTTAGTTGTTTATTCTCTGTGCGTTTACATGGTTTAATGAATGAATGAATACTAAAAACTCATAGACCGCTAAAATATTGGAGGGAATGTGGAGACAACATTAAAATATATATTTTTATTACTTTCTTACTTACATTTATGAACAGAAAGGTTTTTTTTTTAATATTGACTTTTTAGATTCAAAAAATAACCAAATAAACTCCTATTTCTCATCTCGCGCAGACGGATCTGCTTGGACAAAACTGGTATACATCATATCCAGTCGGCCGGTCGCATACGGTCTAGTCGCAGGAGTTCAAATATTTCAACGGATCCGCAGCTCAATTCGGATCCAAATTTTCCGCATACGGAGATGATCGGAACTCCACGCAGCTCCCGGACTGCTCTCCATTGGAAATGAATGACTTCCGGTCTGTCGCTTGTCGTGTGCAGTGAAAAGGCGGCTTAACTGACTGAATGATTGACTGGGCAACGGGCCAATCGGCTGACCCACCCTCCTCCTCCTTCCCTAAACCCAACCAATTTTACTAATTGACCCGTCCGCCCGCTTACTTCCCCAAACCCAACCAACGATTTACAAAAGCCGTCCAGAAAAAGCAAAGCCTTCGTCTGATTTTTACCACATTTTCGGATTTCACCACATTTTCACCCTGTTATGAACTTTTTTTTGGATTCTGTTTTTGATTTCTGGAATCTCTCTTCCCCGCACTCGAACCCAGTCGTTGTCGTCATAGTGGTCAGCTCCTCTCTGTATCTTAACTCCGCCGATGTATACGATGAGCTAACTGGACAAAACTGGTTGCAGCAGGAAAGCCTGCCACATGGAGGTAAGCAGTCAGCCAGTAAGCACCAAAAGGAACGGAGTCACACTGCCCTGTAGCGTTCGCTTAAAAAAAATTAAATGCAGCCATAAGTACCCACGCCTACATGAATCGCGCTCTCCAGAAACGTCCACGGGACTACCATTTCAGAATGAGTTTGGGTTAAAAATTAAAAGTCTGTGTGCATATAGCTCGTTCACAAACAATACTTTTACAATTGAATAATTAAGGAGGGAGTCTAAATGTGCGACTAAAAAACCAACTTTACCCTAATTTACTTTGAGTATATTGCTTTAGTAATCAATTGATTTGTGAATAACACGTTTTTTCTTCCTCAGCCATGTCCACAAAAGAATCAAAGCCAAATCTCAGCCATTCGCAGGTTACACACGTCGTTAAGCGTCTCTATGGGTTGACCGCATCTGTCGTTCGGCCGTTGCCCAGTTATGATGATCAAAACTTCTACGTGGCACCCAGCGAGGGTGGGGAATTTGTTTTAAAAGTCATGAACTCTGCAGACAGCGAGAACGTCGCTGTTATTGAGCTGCAGACTCAATCTATGAACTTTCTACACCAAAGAGGCCTTCCTGCGCAGACCGCTTTACCCACACTGACTGGACAACTGATGAGCTTGGAGGAATTTGGTAAGTGTCAATTGTTAATTTTATGAAAAATTTAATTTAGTGATTTTTAAAAGAGCACTTAAAGGGATGGTTCACCTAAACGTGTACAATATCTGACAAAAGTCTTGTCGCCTATCCACATTTTAGAAACAGCAAATAATAACTCGACTTCTAGTTGATAATTTGGTATCAGAAGTGGCTTATATGAAAGGCAAAGGCCTCTAGATTACACTTATTTTACCAAAATAAAATATGATCATGTCTTTATGTTGAATGATTTCATTAGGACAGTAAGCTCTGACTTTGCTTATGACAAAAGTCCTGTCACTGAACAGAAATAATGTCCAGTATAGAATATAAAGTCCTGCTTAGGGCCAGACAGAATCTGCGGATGTTTCTGCTATTTCTGCGGAGAATTTTGGTAAAAATCTGTGGGTTTCTGCGGTAATATTTTGTGAGTATCTCAACTAAAACCTTAATATATGAAATGAAAAATAATATATTTTTAACTTTTATTTAATGTTTAAAATGTAAATCCAATTAGATGCACTTTATTTGGTAAGTAAAGCAAGTTTGTCATATAATATATCGTAAAAGACAGAAAATATTGCTGCACAAACTTGATTGTACATAAATCAGATGAACATTTTCACATTAGTCTATAATTTTACTGTAATTAATTTAAAAACTGGATAAATAGAGATTTATACACATTTACTCAAGTATATAAACAGAGTTAATGATGGGCTAAAAATATGTGGTAATCTGCAGAATTCTGATTCTGAATCCAAAAACATGCATCTTAAGTTCTTGACTAATCCAAATCTGCACCATAGACATGCTTCTAGTAAGTAGTTATCTCTTAAGAGCAATCACTATCTGTTCATTAGCTACTACAGCAGGGGAGTTCTCATAATCTACCTGAGCTCAAACTCCCCTCTCGCCTTGCAAATAGGAGGGAGCCCAGGGCTCGAGGATCTTATGAGCTCAGAGCTCTCTCCCAGGACAGCATGATAAACAAGCTCTATAATAAATCATCAGCTAAGGTGTGAACTCTTGAAATAAGTTTAATATAAAAATTTCTCCTTTTAGAATGATTACACAACTTTTTGGTTATCATTACCAAATATGGGTGTCACGATCCTCCAAATCCTCGATTCGATTACATTTTCGATTCTAAAGGCACGATTCGATTCGATTTTCGATTATGAATAATTAATTAATGACCAATTAATTATTTGTAGCCTACCGTTTAAACTACCTGACCTGCATGGTCTTTGTTTTACCCATAAACAAATCATACAGTAAATGAATAAAGGCAAGATACACACATAATTACCACCTTTCAATCACTTTTTTCTGCGGGACTCGTGAATAGGCAGTGATCTGTGTCGTTATAATGGCGTCGGTAAAAAAGACGCACAGCCAACAGGAACCAGCCAACAGTATCTGAGGTGTTCGTTAAAATGACAAAGTACAAGTGAGTGAAAGATTAAAGCAGTCCTCTGACTGCCTGGACCTGCTGTCTCAAGCTCATATGGCTGTGTGTGCGTCTGTGTCTGTGTGGTCACGTGATGTTTCAGAGGTAGAGAGGAAGGAGGGCTGCTCAGAAATGCTACACGCCACTGTGGATGTCAAATCGTTGTCGTTCTAAAATGCCATTTAAAAACAAAGACAGTGTAAACAGGGCCTGAGTGTGAACTTTTCACGAGCGGATATGCAACGGGGGCGGGCGGAGGATCGCGATGCCGGTGTTGTCTATCGGACGAACCGTACGTAATACGTACATAGCAGAGCTTGCAAAACTGTGTTTTTTGTCGACAACACGAACGTTGTCAACATAACTCACTGGAAATCCAAAATGCTTCCACACCGGCGACTTCATTGAAAGAGGAGAGGGTTTAAGTTCTGTCGACGGGTCTCCTGCTTCTGCAGTTTAACAAGCACTTCAACAAGCCTGTTTTTTCCCGCTTGGCAAGCCAAGCTGACGTGACATGGGGGCGTGGCAGCATCGACGATTCTATTTTTTGATTCGATAATCGAAATTGAGCATAAATTTCGATCGATTTCGATTAAAAATCGAAATCGTGACACCCCTATTACCGAAACAAGTAGTTATCTACATTTAGATAATTGTTGGATTTACATATATTTGTTTAATGAAAATACACTTTTTTACATTTAGAACTACTTGTTAATAAATTGTGAGGAAACTTTATTTTTTTGGTGTGCTTTTTAAAGTCAACAGGAGTGCTTGAAAAACGCTGATGTCATCTACATTCGCTTTCAGATTTAAAGGGCTAGCAACACACCAGACCCCTGAAAGTGGTTTCGTATGAAAGTGTAGAATCTATATTTTATGCACATATGCATCACTTTGTTTTTTATTCTAGTGTACAAAAGTTATTTACACTTAAATACACAGTATTTTGCATACCCAAGGTTGGGTATTGAACATTGGTTCATTTTTATATTTTTCATATGATACATGTACAAGTTATAGCTCAAATGAAAGCTCTTGCCGGTGCTCATACAGTTCTAGCATTCTTTGTACTGAATTATATTCACATATCAAACAGTTGCCAAATGAATCGCGGTGTTTCCATGGCGCAGAAGTGAAAACAATACATTTAAGATCAATAAGCAGCCCCAGATAGCACAGACAGCTGTCATCTCTTATCCTATGCTGTGCGCTTCAGGGCCATTCTCCTCTGTTTTTGAGCTGATGTGCATAGGTAATCCTTTTATATGTCTGACGTGCTCCAAACACAGTGAATTATGTTTGATCAAACAAAAGAATAGTGAAATATGTAAACAATCATCGGTCCCTGTGGCTTGTACAGCATCTCTCATCAAATGAAATACAATAACTTTTGCATAGATTATGATAGAGACAGTTTTCTTTTTTCCTATGAATACACATATGCAGGAACCACCAAAATTAATTACAGCAAGCTAGACCACACAATTTCAAATTTGAGTTTATAAAAAAATACTAAAAGCGCCTCTTTTTTAGGTGTTTATTATCACACAGACAACATACAGATATTTTAAACACTTTCAATAGTGTTTTTATGAAAATTCAAACGGTTTTCTTTAAAATGATACCAAGTTTTTGCATTTACACCTCTGCATGTGGATTTGGGAAGCTTTTAAATTTGGGTAGGCAAAATCCAGGAAATCCCCAAATAGCAGCAGTTTAACTGGTTAATATCTGAAGTTTATTTATTTATTTTTTTGTGTTTGTATTGTTGTAGATTGTGGATTTGGCACACAGACATATTTGATCCGCTTGCTTACATACCTGCCTGGCACTACCATAGCCAAAATCACCTGCAGTCCTCAAATCTTGTATGATGTTGGGAAAATGGCCGCCACATTGGATACAGTTTTACTGCAAGTAAGATCTTTAATTTCATTCCTTAAACTCTTGTTTACGGTTCAAATTGACCATCCTTTTGTTATATTTATGGCTGTTTTTGCCCCATTGACTTTTATTATGATGTCCTTTATTGATTGCAAAGCCATGACACCATACAATCATGCATTCTTCATTGTTGGTGGTTTTATCTGTTGGGAAGAGGTCAAATTTGTAGTTTTTACAGTTGATCATCAGTTAACCCTGTAGATATGACTGTCAAAAAAAGTTTCTGGCTTTTATATGGAATTCTATGGAGTAACATTTTCAAAGGAAAATTACTGACTTTAGCATTGTTTGTCAGATAAATAAGCATGTTAATTAAATGACTACAAACACATTATGGCCTTTGTATGTCTAAAAAGAGTCAAAAACATCTACAAAGCACCTTTAAGCCTTAATTTTCCCATGTTATGTCCTCTGTTTAAGCATTTGTTTGTTTTTGTGAATGCAAAGATGGAGCATCCAAACACAAGTGTCCTTCAGAGAGAACGTTTCATATGGAAACTCACCAGCATTCCACTCCTAAACCAGTATGTTCATGTGATGGATGGGGATCCCGTGCAGAAGATCGTGAAAGGCGTTGTAGAGAAGTACCAGGTCCAGGTCATGCCAAAACTACCACTGTTTCGCGAGTGTAAGACAGTCAATATATTCAAAAAATGTTATTGCATAGTCAACGGGTCTCATTCACTAACCATGCATATGCACAGATTTATGAGTGAAATGTGTGTTTTCACAAGTAAACCATGATTAATCACAACTTTTGTAGTAATTTTTATTCTAAATGTGAAAATAAAAATTCAAGAACAACTTGTACCACATTTACACAATAATCATGTATACTCAAGGCCTAATAAACATGTATAAAGAATTCTACATACAGCAGGGAAAATAAGTATCGAACATGTCAGCATTTTTTTCAGAAAACATATTTCTAAAAGTGCATTTTAAAGTATGTTGATAACAACCAAATGAAACCATGCAAAGAAAACCAATGTAATTAGTTTAAAAATGAAGTTCTGTATAATAAAATGAAATGAAACCAGGAAAAAGTATTGAACACATGAAGAAAGGGAGGTGTAGATAGACAGTGAAAGCCCAGACAGTAGCTGAAATCTCTCAGTAGTTCTTCAGCAACTCTCTGCCCTTCCTAATGGCTCGTTTCTACTGACTGGTACGATACGGTAGGGGTCGGTACGGGTCACCTTTATCAGGCTTGCGCTTCCTCTCCAAGGGTACCCTTTTGTTGGGCGTGGTGTATGACAAAGTTTCAGTCAACGTCATTTTCGAATCAAAGAGAAAATGTCTTTAGTAAAGCTGTACGGGTCGCTTACATATCACATGAGAAGCACTTCTCACAAAACAGACGCTTTATATACAGAAATACTTCTGGATAAATGTTTATTACTAACTTTTTAATGAACAGGATTTGATTATAACTGCAGATCAATGATAGTAAGAAATAGCCTATACTGTAACGTCTGCAATTATATAAAATAAATAAATAAATGCAACATATATGGACACACACACAGACTCTTACAGTCTCCGATATGTTACTAACTACAGAACAACTACACACAGCATACATTTAGGACTTATTTAGGTTCAAAAACAACAAGAAGTATTCACCTTATTCTCCGCAGATGAGCGGGCGCTGCCATCTGAATCTTTTTGGCTCGAGACTTCCGGTCTCATTCACTTCCATTCACTTTTTGACGTTAAAAACTGCTCGTTACGCTGATTGATGTTGCAATTTGCTATTTTCTTATTATATTATTCTACTTGGTCTGTGTAGTCAGGCAAACATTTGTTTGTAGAGCAAGTAGTTTGACCGTTTTATGCCGTTTATTATTCCTAGTCATTTCTCCCGTAGGCGATTGAATCGGAAGTTCTAATACAATCGCGAAAACAGGCACACTTCCGCATTTTAGAATAAGGTCAATAGCCTACAGTCAGTGAAAACCTCTTATCTGTGTCTGTAATCTTCACCAGCGCATGTAGCCTCTGTTAGAAAGTCACTCCATCATTCTGAGTTCATAATAGTTCAAAAGGTGACGATAATAGTTAAACATGGCAGCTTGTTCACGTTTGCCGAAAATTTTTCTGGCTTCTCCTTAGTTTTTTTGAGCTTCACTCTCGCGTTTGTCAGTTTCTGACTGGATCGGGTTTCAAAAGCACGCCAATAATCAAGCGCACGTTATCATCAGCTCAAGAAGTTTATTTCAGTGATAGACGCGCAACGAGCGCAAGCAAGAAACCAAAACCGCTCGCTCTTCAGACTGGCTCGTAAAAAATTCTAAGTGGCACAAGGTAAATCTGCTCTTCTTTTCTGGCTTTGTGGCTGTTCATCAAGACGACGACAAGGTTTGTTTGAGCCCGGGTCAACCATGGCTCGTTATTATATGTATATATATTTACGCTGTGTATTTTAAACATGGCGGCTCTTTTGTTTTCATTCTGGCTTGTTGCGTAAGCGAACGATGTATCTCTGTAAACCAATAGCGTTCAGCTGCGCGTCTAGCTCCACCTTTTGGGACTCTTTCTTGTGTTTGGTACCTTTTCGAAAGGGTGCCAAAAAAGTGGTGTAAAAATATACACAATTATTATTGAAAGAGACCCACTGTGTGTTGGTTTGTGTGTGTGTGTGTGTTTTCTTTTCTTACAATATTTTTATTGCATTGCAGGTATCAACCACGGAGATTTCAATGACCACAACCTCATAGTGAAACCTGACGGACCCTCAAAATACAAGATCTCTGGCATTCTTGATTTTGCAGACATGAGCTGTGGGTATTTCATTTTCGAGCTGGCCATCACCATCATGTACATGATGATTGAGAGTCCCACTCCGCTAGATGTTGGAGGGCCGGTGGTGGCGGGATGGGAAAGTGTTTTCCCACTCAATGAGGCAGAAAGAGACTCGCTCTACTGGCTGGTCATGTGTCGGTTCTGCCAGTCTCTGGTTCTGGCCCGTTATACTGTGATCCAGCAGCCGGAGAATGAGGAGTATTTGATGATCACCTCCAGGAAAGGTCTGAGGCACCTCAGCCGTCTTTGGGAGCTGGGTAAAGATGAAGTGGAAAGAAGATGGTTTCAGAGTGCACAGCAGTTCAGACAAATTTGACTGAACACTAAAGCTTTTAAAATATACATGAGGGATGCAGTAATGCAGGTTGCTCAAGGTTCGGTTGGTATCACGGTTTTAGGGTCACGGGTTTGGTATGGTTCGATATATCATTCATTCAGCCTCCTTTGACTTAGTCCCTTATTTATCAGCAAAATGAACTGCTGTTCCAGTTGCAACCTAGTACTGGGAAACACCCATACACTCTCACATTCACACACACACACACACACACACACACACACACACACACACACATACACTACGGCCAATTTAGTTCATCCAATTCACCCACAGTGCATGTCTTTGGACTGTGTGGGACACCGGAGCACCCGGAGGAAACCCATGTCAACATGGGGAAAACATGCAAACTCCACACAGAAACCCCAACTGACCCAGTCGAGACTCGAACCAGTGACCTTCTTGCTGTGAGCTGACAGTGCTAACCATTGAGCCATCCCTCGGTATATCATATGTTTAATAAAAAATAGGACACAAGCAAAATCTCAAATGAATACACTATAGCAAGGATGCTACTAAACTAAATGGTGCTTTTCAGGTATCTAACGGTACAAAAGCTTAATAATAAGCTCACGTGAGAGTTTTATATCGCAAGATTAATGTAAACACAGCTTACATTGAACACTCTTGTAATTCGTTTAAACTTTACCTCATTTTATTAAGGATTATTTTAGGTTCAAGTGGTATTTATAAGGAATTGGAGGCAACAAAGGAATCGCTGTTTGTTAAGAATAACGCTATCTTGTGACAATTCGTAACTTTTTGAATTAGTGGCTAATTCGTATGAATTTGTACGATCTCATTTGTACAGTTTAGTATGATTTGCTCATCCCCTAATAATGGACAAGCTTAGGAGCGGGGTTTGGTGCCACCCCCCCTTTTTAAAATCACAAGTTTGGACAATGCTGCTTTGTAAACTTGTTTTTTTTTTTATTTGTGAATTTATTGCTTTTAGTTTTACATTAGGAAGATATACATATACACACACATACTTATACTTTTTAACATGCAGTTTATTTTTCAAACAAGATAGGGTCTCATACCTGCAATTGCTCAGGGTCCAAAAAATCACTAAGTCCACCCCTGCGAATGATCACTTTGCGATATCGATGCTGAAACTATATATTGTGCAGTCCTACTTGGAATGCTACTATACTCTAGAGCAGCGGTTCTTAAACTTTTTTTCATCAAGTACCACCTCAGAAAAAAATTGTCTCTCCAAGTACCACCAAAATAAGCAGTATTAAAAGTACAGTATTAAAATTACAGTAGCGTAGTAGGCCCAGTAAAGCAGTTACAACTCTGCAAAGTTAAAAAAAGGTGGCAGATTACCTCAGAAATATAGGCTATTTGTCATATATGACATATTATATACATCATTTTTTGTAAATTTTGAAATGTGTGTAGCATGTACATGACATATTTCATTCCTCCGCGTACCACTAGAAGGAAGCCTGCGTACTACTAGTGGTACACGTACCACAGTTTGAGAACCAGTGCTCTAGAATAAAAGTCACGTCTTACTTTCAGTTTCGGGCACAACAAAGCGCACCGCGCCAAAGCCCAAGTGAGCCACGCTCTGGCCCACCACTTCCAAGGACGGCCAAGTGAACCGTGCCTGTGCCCGATTCAGCACACTCACACCTCTCAAACTTCTCGTGCGCCCTTATACTGTTATGCCTAGTTCAGACTGCGTGATTTTAGCCCCGATTTTGGCTCGCCGACAGGTTTTGAGAAATCGCAGACAAATGCCTGAAATCACAGGCAAATCACTGCTCGTGCACGTGAGTGACAATCACACAGTATGAACTATCAACGACGCGATCTAAGAGAATCACCGATGAGTCGCCGATGCCTGTGAGATATTTGGCGTGCTGAATATCTGGAGCTGTCGGCGATTCAAATCATGCCGTGTGAATTGAGTTATGACTGAAAATAACATCAGCCATCGCCTACAGCCAATGAGAGAGCAGCTTTCACTTGCGTGTGTGTGTGTGTGTGTGTGTGTGTGTGTGTGTGTGTGTGTGTGTATACCTGCTGCAGGCCAGCGGGAGGCTGGGGGAGAAGTTAAAAGCGCTCTTTTTCGGTTTATTTGGACCCACGAAATGGAGGAAAAACCAGTGGAGGTTTGACAGGACTCAGGAGCAACCGTGTCTGTTTGACGTTTCGTACAGAAAGAAATTAGTTTATTATCAACGTTGAGGAGAAATGGCTAATTCCCTTTAAACCCAGGTGAGCAAACATGTACATGTTCTACCCCATTAAAGGCTTCTTTCTCATTATGTAGTTAATAACAAAAGATATACTGCGTGTTTTTGGCTGTGAGACGTAGTTTGGACGAAGTTGTCTGCGATTCTTCCTATAATAAGTCATGCAATGTGAAAGTCCCTGTCGCCGATCCATCTTGCAGTGTAAACAAAGCAGTGACGAAACGCAAACTCAGATAGTCATGCAGTGTGAAAACATCTGTGATACGAATACTTCGAAAATCATGCAGTCTGAACTCGACATAAGGAATGTGACAAAAGACCTCATTAACTTTTATGACCGGCTTCGTCTGAACTTACCTCACAAACCGCAGATCACAGCACTTTTATCTGATCGCTCAAAGGTCTGCTTTTACTGCTCAGATCAGGTCGTGCTCATTAAAAGTTCAAGTTTAGCAAAATAAATATAAGGCCAGGAAAAAAAACAACAGACTTTGACCACTCAATTTTTGAGGTTTAAGGTTTCCAGCACAGCAGGGTTACCACAAGTCATGGGATATCTGCAATATCATCGCATTGTAAAAGCTCTTTTCTAGACATTGAAAGTCGAGGAAATGTTTCTTTTTATATTAATTTTGGTTTCCATACCCTGGTGAAAAAATACATTCTGCTATATATACCCTACTGAAAAAAACAGCTTAAACCAGCCTAGGCTGGTTTTAGCTGGTCGACCAGGCTGGTTTTAGAGGGGTTTTGGCCATTTTCAGGCTGGTTTCCAGCCATTTCCAGCCTGGTCTTAGCTGGTCAGGCTGGAAAATGACCAGCTACTTTAAATCCAGCTAACACCAGCTTGACCAGCCTGGTTTAAGCTGGACATCGCTGGTTTTGGCTGGGCTCCCAGCCTGGCTAGGCTTGTCAAGCTGGTTTTAGCTGGTCATCTCCCAGCGAATGACTCAGAGCAAGTAAACACTAAATTATTATTTTCTCCTTCTTATAGTATTCTATTGATGACTTGTTTGTCGTGTGATCAACCTTTCGGGCTAGTTGTAGTTGTGTTTGGAAGCAGTTTGTAACATTTTAATAATATTTTGGCAAATTGAACCAAATGAACGAAATGACTGGAAAAAAAGATTCGTTCATCTCGATGAACGAGACTCAAAGATCCGAGTCAGTAAAATGATCTGAACTTCCCATCACTATCAAAAACTCACATACAGCACCTTTAAAAGCTTTGGGTTTTGAAATAAGCACTTCAAAGACTGGAAGTGTAAAGATAATGATAAAACAAGCTAAATGTAAAGTTTGTAAAACTACATTTTGACCTATCATATGGAAGAGGGAGCAGCAAAAACCTTCAATTGTTTTTTCTCCTTTAAATCTGAGGTAAATTATCGATCGCAGTTCTCATAGTGGCTAAAGTACTCCACAAATAATGTTTTAGAACAGCTTCTTTTAGACTTTGATCTTAATGGTGTAGTTTTTGTGACTGTCGCTTTAAATGCAAATGAGATCGTGCTCTTTTCAGAAAAGGGGGCGGGGCTACAAAGGACTGTCAGCATAGTGGGAGATTCAAAAACAAGGCTAACGTCCTAATGAGGGAGAGATGGTCACTAGTGGGCGGGGCTTTCCCTCTCTGATGACACGTACAAAGGGAGAACGTCAACAAAGTGTTTCTGCAGACTGGTTTTATCAAGTGTGATTATAACAAAGACAATTAATACATTTTTGCCATTATAAGCTGGTTATATTCACAGACTGTTGCCACACAACTGTGTTTAAGCCCCTTATACAAGTGATTTGTGCATAATAGGCCCCCTTTAATGTTTCCCAGGGAACACATACTAATAAAATGTAGCACATTGAATTTCTTTAAAACAAATGTACCAGCCTGCCAAATTAACAGAAATCAAACGTAATTGGAAATAAATGCGAAGACCAATCAAGAATACAACTGAAATGTTGTGCCAAAGATTGTGGATTGATTGTCCAGATGTGAGTTCAGTCGTTTGGTTTAATATCGAGTAACTGGATGCTGAACTCTTTATCTTTTAAACCTTTTAAGGCCAAAAACGCCATAAAGAACTTTTAAAATGAGCTCCATTTCATGCTTCTCTAATGCCAAGAAGAATTTTGTACGCTGCAATCCTACCGTAAAAACAAACATATGAATTGAACTTTATGGACTGTGCAACAATGTCCGCTTCAACCGTTTTAGGAGCCGTAAAGTGCAGTAACTTAATATTGTGCCAAACTAATTTCATTATTCATGATGTCTGCTCTCTGCTCTGTGTTTTTCTGTTGTTTGCTTGCCTTTGAATGTGACACATGAGCAGATTACATCTAGAAAACATCTGTCATATAACAGATCATATGCATATGAATGAAAAATAAATAGCACTGGGGTTACATTTTACTGATGGTGTTTTTTTTAATGTTTAAACCTATTATTTTAATTGCGATTATATATATATATATATATATATATATATATATATATATAGTATATATATATATATATATATATATACAGTTGAATTCAGAATTATTAGCCCCCCCTTTGAATTTTTTTTGTCTCTTTAAATATTACCCAAATAATATTTAACAGAGCGCGGACATTTTCACAGTATGTCTGATAATATTTTCTCTTCTGGAGAAAGTCTTATTGGTTGCTATTTCGGCTAGAATAAAAGCAGTTTTTACTTTTTAAACACCATGTTAAGGACAAAATTATTATTTTCTTTCGACAGTCTACAGAAAAAAAACATCGTTATACAGTAACTTGCCTAATGGGGTTGTAAGGCTTGAAGCTTACGCTGCTATTCTGAACCAATAGTCGGAAACAGGAAGCAGTTGAAGGATGGCGTGTTTAAATCCATTATTTATCTGACTCCATTGTAATTAATCTGACTCCATTAAAGTT